CCCCCCCCCCCCCCCCAGCAGCAAGTTTCAGCACTGTAATTTGCCATATCTTTACCCCTTATGGAGGTGGTTTTCCTACAGCGCTGGGAGAGCTCTCTCCCAGTGCTGGAGCTGTGACCACACTGTCACTGTAAAGCACTGTGGTGGCTGTGGCTGTGCCTGCTAGAGCTACAGCAGCTATGGAGAAGTGCTTCTCACTTGGTCCCCAAGCTGCTACCATGAGAGAAGCCAGGAGTAGCTCTCTCTCTCTTTGGGGCAGCCTGTATATTGAACCCCTCATCCCCAGTCCCACACATAGCAATGATTTAAATGGAAAAAAACCATTGAGTTAAGGACCTGAACAACACTGGGTTAATCTTCTAGTAGGAACAGTATACATAAGTCATTGTATGAAATTTTAGTTTGTACTGAGTTTGCTAGTGTTTTCATGTGGTCTGAACTAGGCAAATATCTAGAAGAGTTGATGAATCCCCTGGAAGACCTCTGTGTAACCCCAGTGGTACATCCCTGGTTGAGATCCACTACTCTAAGTTAACTTCTCTTTCTTACATCAGTCTACTTTATATCCTATTTTCAGTAAAAAATGAAAGAGGAGAGAGGATGTTCTCTCTCTTCACTTTATTTCTAACTTTGGTGTAATGCAGAATTTCTGGAAATATAATGGAGAACCTGTTCTTCTGAGATTTTCTGTCCAGTTTATTACTCTACATGGAGGCTATGAATCTTATTACGAAAAAACAAGTTAGTCCTGTCTAGATACCAAATACTTTTGTAACATGATTGACATTAGCACTGACCCCCTTGAGCTGTCTGTCCCAGATAGGCAAATATGTAGAAAGACACTCTCCTTCTTTCACTACAGTTTATATGCAGCCCTATCTGTGGGGGATCTACAGCAGTACTTTAGGACAGAAAGTGAAAAATATCATGATGGCAGGGCTAACACTGTACCATTTCTTACAGCCTCAGAGATCTTCTGGTGAGAGTCTTCATTTTAGATATTATCCAAAATATGGCATTTGCCACCTCACCGTGCTCTCTAGCGCTTCTTAATCATTTGTCTATTAAATTTTGATCTTTTTATATAGTTTTGGAGAAAACAAGTTGTTTTAAAAAATGGAAAAATGACAACACTACTGGCCTAAGTAGATTGCTTTTGGGGAAATCTTGGATTAGACAGTATTTGGCCCAAGATGCCTAAGTTAACAAACAAAGCTGAAGGATTGATTGGCTTGCCAGGCATCCAGTTTTTTATTGGAACACCTATTCTAAAAGGGAGCCTGGAAGCTTTGGTAAGCAATGCAGTGAAGGCCTGTGGCTAAGGCAGGCCCCATACCTGCTCTCGCTCTGCACTGCTCTTGGAAGCAGCTGCCAGATCTCTGCAGTCCCTAGGCACTGGGGGAGCCAGAGACTGTGAGGCTCCATGCTTTGACCCCACCCTGAGTGCCGCCTCTGTTTAACTCCCATTGTTCAGGAACCATGATTAATGTAAGTGAGGGGTTGGTGCCTGTGGGCATGAAGGAAGTGTGCACAGTTTCTCTGGCCACCCAGGTGTCTAGAGACCGCAATGGCAGCCATTTACTGGGAGTTGCAGTAAGTGTCACCTGGACCCTGCATCCCCGCCCTCTTCCCTACTCCAGAGCCGCCTCCTGTACCCCAAATCCCTCATCCCTGGTTCCACTGTAGAGCCCATATCAACAGCTGGAGCCCAACATTCCTCCCATTCTCCAAACTTCTTGGCTCCAACCCAGAGCTCCCTCTTGCACTCCAAACCTCTCATCCCCAGCTCAGAGCCTGTACCCTTAGCAGAAGCCCTCTTCCCCTCAACACCCTGTCCAATCCTGGAGCCTTTTCCTGAACCCTGAGCCCCTCATTTCTGGTCCCATTCATATTCTGTACCCCCAGTCCAGAGACCATATCTCCGCTTGTACCCCTGCCCCAGCCCAATGCAAGTGAGGGTGGGGAAGAGGGAGCAGTGGAGGGAGGAGAATGAAGCAAGAGGTGGGGGGGAAAAAGTCAGGGCACGAGTGTTTGGTTTTGATTGGAAACACTAGAAGGAAGTGCAACACAGGCTTCAGCAGAAAACTGCTCTTATTGATTCCCACTTGCCTTCCTCGGTGATGTTGCTAAAGAAACATGTACGCAGGTTAGTGTAAAGTAAACAACCACTTTGAGTCATAACAGCTGGCTAGACCATTTGAGAACTGTGTAAAACTAGGGGTAACTTTGACATCTACATATTGTGAGCTTTCAACTGATGAACCATACATTCAACACATAAAATGTATAACAAAAGACTTCAATATCCACATTCAATGTACAAATACAAGTTTGAAAATCTGTTTAAGAATATTTTTGTCACTTGAGAATAATATGTTTGCAAAAGTCAACCTCTTGAGTTTTTGTCTTGTTTCTTTGTATGAGTTTTTCAACACCAAGCTAATTCTATTGTGCTTTTTAATAGCTTGTTAAACCAACCTATTCAACATCAAATAGACCATCTAATTGATGTAAGGGTCTGACATTCAGGAATGCAGATCAGAAACTCAACCTTTAGTTCCTGGCCTCAGTCACATGACCTAGATCTCAGGTTCAGATGCAAATTCCTCCCTTAAATGGCAGTGGTCAGTATCTGTCCACTCACTATTGTGTTTATTGCTTTTATTGTTGAAGCTAGCATACGCATGTGCCAGCTGCAGTTTTCATTCATTCTTATAAAATCTTTCAGATTAGTAGGACATCATGAAGAAGTATTGGATAAATTGTTGAGCAGTGCATCATATATATATATATATATATATATATATTTGCATGTGTGTATCTATGTGTGTGAAATATTTTTCACATGAATGGTCGGCAAAATGGAAAGTGATATGAATTATCTAAAAGATAAAACTCTGGTTCAAACAGACATTATTTTGTGTGAGTTCTATAGCCTGTAACACTAGATGATTCCTTCAAGCGTTGGAATCCATGACTCATGTAATATGTATCCACATGCAAATTCTTGAGCGTGTACGCATTTATACAGATGAAGTGGACATGGTTTGAAAGCTTTATGTGCCATCTGATGTCAGCCAACCAGCGAGGAGAAACCATACTATGTGACTCAGGTAACCTTCGCCTCTTGCCATGGTGCTTGGCTGACTTCTGCACCGCACAGCTGGGCCACTATGGGGGAGCCCAAACAGCCGCTTGCTCTGCTTGCTCCCCTGCAAAAGCCTGGCTGAGCGGTGCAGAAGTCAGCCGAGCGCCATGGCGGGAGGCAAAGGGGGCCGGGGCCTGGACGAGCTTGCATTGAGAGAGGAAGGAGGGGGAGAAGAGAAAGAGAGAGCCGGAGAGATAGGCAGAAGGCGGAGGAGAGCTGAGGGGGAGGGCAGTAGCAGGAGGAGGAGGGAGAGAGAGAGAGAGAAGGAAACACGGAGCGAGAGACTGGAGGCTCAGGAGAAAAGACAGACATGGAGGAGAGACCTGAAAATCCTGTCTTTATGATGGGCTAATTGGCTAGTTTATTAATATTTACCTGACTGTACTGTTTATTGTTATCAGTCAAGGGGAAGGAAGGTTCTTACAGACTCATAGTGTGGACCCATCATTTATTCTCTCTGTGCCATATGAGGAAAACTGCTACAGTTGCCTTAATGACAATTCATCCATTCATACTTAGTCTGAATTAGGGTACTGGGTTACAGTGAACCATCTGAAAAATGGAGATAAAACTGTTTCACCGGGATGTAGTGAGGATTAACTAGCTAATATCTGAATAACATTTTGAAGATCCAAAGATGCACTTGTTGTGTTATTGCTATATATTTTGGGTGTACTTCTCTCACACCCTGTTGAGAAGAATATGGGCACTGTTCTTGTTCTGGTGGGGGATGTGTCGTTTTGTAGTAGAGCATTAACATGGAATTTCCCCAGGTCTGGGGCTTTGGAATCTTTCCCTCTTAACAGGGGCAGAGGATGAAAAAGAAGTCCAAACAAGTAAATCAAGATGTTCCCATCCTGCTCAAGAGGTAGAGTCCCCAACCTTTGGAAGCAAAGGATTTTAAAATCCCTTTCCTTTTTGGGAGGATCTCCATGGTCCAGGCTCTCAAGCAGTTTCCCCATCGCTCCCTTTTTGTTGGGCACTTTGAGTTCCAGGCCTGCTCTTTCTGAATGCTATCTCAAACTGACCTAGGAGATGCCCAGGCTTGACAAACCTCACAGTAGATTGTCCCATCCTAGATGAGCTATTTAGCCCCTTTTATAACTTATATAGGGAGTTGCCTTTTAAGAGTTTAGTTTCAGGAGCATGAAATGAAATCCCTGAAGGTCATCGATTTCAACCTAATTCTGTTGTCAGTGCTGAGAAGATATGTAAGTCAGTAAGAGCTTCCAGAGAAGAGTGATGCTGTGCAGTAACACAAAAAAAATAAAAATAAAAAACTGAACTCGGTCCACAAACAGACTAACTATTTTTTCCCTATCTTATCAAACTGTAGGAGTGCCTGGTGCCATGCCAAATGCATCATGGGAAGGTAACCTAAGAGCTATCAAGTGGAGCGATATGGCGAGCTTTCATGGAGGTTGTCATGGTAATGTGTATATTTTTTTCCTTTTCCTATTCTTGCATTGAAATCTGAAAATTGGAGCTGGGTGGGAAATGGTTATTTTTTTTTCCTGTCCTACAAGCATTTGAGATTTCAGAAGCTTTTTTCTGTTTCAGAAGCTTTCATCAGCATGAAGAAGAAATTTTATGAAGTTAAAAACAGAAAGAAAAAAGTAGCAAAAAGAGACTAGCACCCCATAACAACTCAGTAGTCATAATACTTATGTAGAACATGGGAAACTTCTGTTTAGATGCTCCTCTGTTGTTCTCCCACAGCCCAAATGCGTGGTCTGACCAGCAGGATATTGGCTATTCTGCAATGGGTCTCACTATTTTTCCTGTTTGAGCTTATAAATAAAGATTTAAATGGATCAGGGACTGGATCCTGGGTCTCCCACAGCCTGAGTTACACAACCACTGAGCTATTCTGCAGTTGGGAGTGGTTGTACTCTCTCTTTCTCACTTTGAGAAATTCCTCCTTGTGCCTGAGAAACATTTCCCATTCATTTCATCAAAGCCAGTATGTTCCCATGGAAAGTTTGACAGATCCATGGTTTCTGACAAAATAAGTGCCATCAGAAAATTCCCAACCAGCTGTTAGTAACTGAGCAACTATATAATTATCCATATGAATCTTAACCCTTTTTAAAGTCTGCGCTAGAATCTTTTTTCCTCCAGTTAAAATAATCCTAAATTCTACTTTGTAGCCAATTCCTATACAGGTGCATGGGTAAGTAAGATATTCAAGGAACAGCCCGCATTTTAGCTGTTCTGTTCATTAGTGCAATCTGTGCATGAGTCTAAGCTCTTGGTTAAAAGTAGTAGCCACTTCCAAATGAGTAAAAGTGACAAGGAGTCCTATAGCACCATATAGACTAACAGATGTATTGGAGCATAAGCTTTCGTGGACAAAGACCCACTTTGTCAGATTCATGCATGCAAAATGTTAGTTATTGCTCGTGTCTTGACATACATATACATTTGCAGCAATCCTGCATTTGTACTTCAGAGTAGGTCAGGGTGGGCAATAACTTTTTGCTGGGGACCACTTCAGAAATTTTTGAAGTGGCCTTGGGCCACTCCATAAGGGATGGGGCCTCAAGCAGAAGGGGCGGGGGCAGGATACTTCCTTGCTTCCCCACTCACAGACCATGACTGGTGTGTGTGCGTGTGTGCGTGTGTGCGTGTGTGCGTGTGTGCGTGTGTGTGTGTGTGTGTGTGTGTGAAAGTGCCTTCCCTGCCCCCCGAAGTTTCTCCCTAGGCACTCATGTCCCTGGCAGTGGGAGGAGACTTCACGCTTTCCCCTTTCTGCCCTCAGGCCAATCAGGGCCTGGGGGCAGGGGAAAGTGCATGAAGTCTCCTCCTGCCCTGTCATGAGCACGTAGCATTTCTAAGCACAGCACACTCCTTGCAGGGTGGGGGCAGGGCAGAGGAAACTGTATGCTCATCCCGCCCCCAGGGTAATCAGGAGCATGTGGCACTTCTAAACGCCGCACAGTCCTGGCAGGGAGGACGAAATTTCATGTGCTTCCCCCCAGGCCCTGATTAGCCTGGGGACGAGGGAGCAGCAGGGCCTCTGCGGGCCAGATCAACCCAGTTGGTGGACCGGATTTGGCCCGCTGAGGCCCTTTTGCCCATCACTGGACTGGATGAAATAGGGATCATGATTTATGGCAGAGCAAAGAGACTCCAGAGCCCTAGGATTCTGTCCTCGGTTGAGTCACAAGTATGTATGGAAAGTTTAATTTGTTGCTAGAATAGACCTAGTCATAGTAAGACTGATCAAGTTAGTATGATGAAACTGGAAGTGTAGTTATGGCAGTATGAGCAGCAGGACAGGCTCGCTGCTTCAAATACAATCCCATTGAAACCATACTGTACACATTTGGATGCTAGCCCCTCCCATTGTTTGTGCTGCTATGGCTACACTTCTGTTTTTAACACCCTCACTTGATCAAATCATATCTTCCAGCAACTGCATACACATATTCACAGACTCACTGTATATCTGAGGTCTTCACTTGACTTCCATATGTCACCACATGTAAAAAAAAGTACCGTATATTCCGGCGTACAAGACGACCTCTGAAGTTAAAAAACATCCCCCAAAAATCGGGGGTCGTCTTGTACGCCGGATGCCCCCCCGCCGGAGCCCCTCCGCGGCTTTGAAAGCCTCGGGGGAAGCCGGCGGCGGGGCATCCCAGGCGCGCATGGGC